TACCATCCTATACTTAAAGCGGATGGTGGGGGAATGGATGATAGACCCGATCAAGATCCCATGCATGGTTCCGTATGGTCCCTGGTCTACTTAGTCAGAGGAGGTAGTCGACCTAACCTGATAGAAGGATCCTTGTCGGCAGCCATGGGTTGCTTCGTCCAAGGGTACCTTGTAGACCTAGGGTGGGTATTTGTCTAAGGGGACAAATTTGAATCCACCTTAGCTAACAGAGGGCTTTGTGCCCTATCAATCATATCCTATTGATTCATATCTCAAGAATTTAACGCCACTAAGGAGCGTAATGGCTCTGGCCATAACCGATATCTGTGGTGCCATTTGGCGGTAAAATCCACTCGGTTTAGAGGGCCCCGGGTCATAACCGTTTACCTGTAGTGCCATTTGGCGGCGAAACTGCCGATTATAGGACACGTACCACATCCTTACTGGCAAGAGATTGTTTGAGAATGGATCCTAGTGATATTTTAGACTAGGCATTTGGCTCTTTGTGAGTTGTAGTAAACTTTAATTTGTCCGTCCCGACAAACTGTTTCGGAGGGTGGATGGATTTCGCTTTAAGTGATTGATGGGTTGAATTTCAAATTTAAATATTGTGACGTCACGTGTGTACCAATAACACGCTCGCTGGGCCCATGCGGTATTTGGGGGCATTTTACAATTGAACCTTGTCCACTCCTACTTGTTTAGAAGGATTGGGTTCATATTTAATAACCCGCGCAGCATTCCTAGATGTCACGTGTGTACCATTAACACGCTCATCGGGGCCCATGCGGGTTGAGATTGTATTTTCCCCTTTAGTGTACCTATGTGTATACAAATTATAGTGCACGTGCGGGGATATTTTGAAAGTATTTGTAAACACATTCTGTCCGCTTGCACGGAGATTGCGGGTTCGGTGGCGTGGCATTATAATTTGTGGATGCCTTCTGTCTGCTTGTATGAGTGTTGCAGACCCGGTTGCGTGGCGTTATAATTTGTGGACGCCTTCTGTCTGCTTGTATGAGTGTTACAGATCCGATGGCGTGGCATAGCAGCTTCTAAATAGAGTTATTCACTGCTTCATACAGGTGGATTGTCGTGCACTACTCGTCGCTTTCTACAGGTGGATCGTAGTGCACTAACTAATCTCCTGCCTTAGGTTGTAGAAGCTCGTAGGAGCTTGTATTATTTATGCATTCTGCTGTGATTTTGGTCTTTACAATATGTCTATTACTGGTCGAGGTAGATGTATTCATCTTTAGACTGAAGTTGATTACAGGATACTGCATTTACTGTAGTCTTTATGTATCTACACAGGGGTGGCACGTTGTACATACATCTATGTCAGTAGAGAGATTGTATGCACTGCAGATCTTTTATTCTTGCTTGTAGAAGACTGATGTATTTGACTGATGCTGAGTGGTTATTGACTGCATGGATGATTTAGCATCCACTGCACATTAATCGTCATTACCCATAAGTGGGCTTCTATATGAATGAGGACTCCTCTTCGTTCATTTGTGAATGTTCACATTCATCATACACATCACTATGTTCATTTGTAGGAAACTCTATGCTACTGACTGTAAGCATATTTAGAACTCCTTCAGGTTTGCTTGTGGATGACATCTTGAACATGTAGCGGGTCTTTTACATGTCTTCTACTACTAGTAGACAATGGGTCTTTTATGTTTGTGTATGATTGATCAAATATTGTGGCTTGCTATTGAATTGCATTTGATTGTATGTTCATTCACTTAAAGCACGGTCCCTTGTTGAAATTGTTTGAGTTCTTTGGGATCATCCCAAATTACAATCTCTAGTCATCATTCCTTCAAGTTTAGATCAAGTCCAAATCAAAGTCTTCTACATTTGTTTGAGTCTCCTGAGTCAAACTGAAAGTATTTGTTTATACTCAAATTGCCCAAATTAGAATTCCTTGCACTTTAGCTTACTTGATTCAAGTTCAGGTTCTTGTTCTTCTTTTTTTTTTTCATTTGAGTTCATGTAGGTCTCCTTTTGCTCAAATATTTGTTGCATTTGAATCCATTTTATGTTCAAATTCATCATAAGCTTAATGTCATTTGATTAGAGTCCATTTGAGTTCAAGATGAATTCTATCCATGTTCATAAGTCCTCTACTCTTGTTCGAGTACAAGTTTTATGTCCTTGCTCAAATTGTTCAAGTCAAGTCCTTCGCATGAGTTCAAGTCCGAATCCAAAAATGAGTTCAATCAAGTTCTTCGTTGTCTTTCAAGTTCATATCCTTCCTCTTTATTCAAGTTATGGTTCAAGTTCATTTAAGTCCATTTGATTCAAGCCCACAAGTCCCATTTTGCTCCAAGTCCTTGTCTGTATTCAGAGAAAATTCCAGCAGTCTCCCGGCGTCTCCTCCGTTAAGGGGAAAAAACCAAGAGGCCGCCTACCCGCCACGCCACCAAAGGCGTGCAC